ACATCAGCCGCTGAAAAGGAAAGAGATAGACATCAGCCGCTGAAAAGCAAACTCGCGCCTCTGATTCAAAACATCAAACTACTGTAGCATCTGAAAAACATCTAGTAAGAAACTAGAAGTGGTTAAAGAGCAAGCTACAAAAAGATCATTGACTACAGCAAAGCCAAAAAAAAAAAAGTAATTTAAAAAGACTTAGAAACGAACAATGCTAGTATATTTATAATAACAACACGGGAAGGAGAAAATAAAACAAAACACAGCAAGATCTAAGTCACAAGGTCCATTAACAGACAGTAAAGCAACTTAAAATTGAACTGAGAAGCTGGTGTAGGGACTAGCCTTTAATCTCAGCACTTGGAAGGCAGGGCCAGAATGGTCTACACAGTGAGTTCCAGGAAAGCCAAGGCTACATAGTGACGCCCTGCCTCAAAAATAACAGCAACAAAAGCTGAACTGAGAAAAACAGTGCATCAAAAATATTATAAAAACTGGAGAAGAATTGTCACTGATAGCTGAAGCAGACAGATGTGACTGAAGAGGGATGCTACACTACTTCATGTCCTGTCCCCAAAGCAGAAGATGAGAGCAGACATGCATTCTGGTCCTTGCCTTCAACAGCACCCAGCAGGAACAACCTCCTTACCACTAGAGACACTCAAGGTGTTAAACAGTAGACACTGTGTAACTTTAAAAGTCGATCTCATTTAAAATCTAATTCCAAAGCACTGATTTTGTCATGATTTGATTTGCACATCACAACCAACTATAATGAAGAAAAAAGTACACTAGAATGTCAGGTGGTGGCGGCACACCTTTAATCCTTTAACCCAGTACTTGGGAGGCAGAGGCAGGAGAAACAGAGTTCAAGATCAGCCCGCTCCAGGACAATTCGGGCTACAAAACCCTGTCTTGAAAAACAAAACAACAAAACAAAACAAAAAGAAAGAATAAAAAAAAAGTACACTAGAAAATGGTTAACATAGGCTTACAGTTTTTTTATGGTTTTTTAAAATTTATGATTATATCGCCTTTTCTTTGTCTCTAAGGTAGACTCTGGCCATGCAGGAGGCCAGACACTCAGGTCTTTTTGCTTCTGCCTCTCTATTGCTGGAATTATAGGTATGTGCTACAAACCCGACTGAACGGATTGGCTCTTAAACATACTTAAAGATTAACGTTACTATTATCCAGAAATAACAGTCTGTATAACTTTCCAGCTTATGTTAAACTTTACTATCTTATAAATTATCTCACTAGAAATAGCTAATGATTTATTGTTATTTTGAAAAATGAACTTGAAGTTAGAATTCCTGCTGCCTAGAACTAATAGTTCGTTCTTTTCTAGTAGTGAATAAAGTGTTTCATCAAACCTGCCTGAGCCTTGGCCTCATTGATACGGTGCTAATGGCTCACGTGGCCCACACAGAAGCAACTACAAATGTCCATCAGCATGAGTGTACGGAGAAACTCATTGCCACAAGCTGATAATGGCTTGCTGCGTTTAGAGACATTATTATTCCTAACATAAAAGTTACCTGAACCTAGGTAGAAAGTAGGGTAAGCACGATTCTGGCTAAAGAGAAAAATAAGTGGTAAAATCAGAAGCTTAGGAGGCCTTTGTGGGTAGCATCTGAATTCTACACATCTGAACCACATATGGATGGAACTAGCAATATTGTCTTGACCCTGGCTTTCTTATAAAGAGGTATTGGAAGTCTATTAGTCCAATTCCAGTAAGACTCTGATTTTATTTATAAAGTTATTTATCTTTACTTACATTTTATAAACTATATCTAGTGAAGTCAACAAAAAAATTTAGCCTCTTAAAAAGAGGCACGATGCCCTTATTTTCTTTTTCTTCTGGAGAGAACAGTACCTAAATATGATATATCTATTTTCTCCAAATACACGCTCAAAATGTGAAACTGTTATTCATAATTGAAGAGAAAATATCTTGGGGCAATTAAAGGAAACACTTGGATGGATGCAAACCTTAGCATAATCCCATGGTTTTAGTAACTTACTTACAGGGCATAAGTTCACTGCCTAGTAAACTAGTAATGTTACCATTTAAGATACAGAATAACAAAGGTCCAAATCAAGGCAGGACCAAGAACACTTACCTTGATCCGGTGATCGTCTGTATCTGCTACAGTTGCTACTCTGATAAACAATGGATTTCTTTTGTCTACAGCTTCAAGCTTCATTTTTTTCTGGAATCCATGTGGCGGTTTCTGCCATAACAGAAGGATGTCATGTCGTGAGGAAGAGCAGGATGATGGACAGCACCAGTAAGCAAGCAACAGTTGAATTGTTTAGGTTACCAGTTCTTAGATAAGCACTGAGTGACATTTGTGATCAAAACATACAGGTCAATACACATGTAAAAAGACAACCTGACGGCCCAGCTAGGGAGAAAACAGAAAGCTATTTGATCAGTCACAGGGAAGACTAGACATTTCCTAACAGGTTGAGGTGTAAGAATAAAGTCAATAGGCATGATTTTTTTGTTTTGTTTTGTTTTTTGAGACAGGGTTTCTCCGTGTAACAGCCATAGCTGTCCTGGAACTAGTTCTTGTAGACCAGGCTGGTCTCAAACTCTCAGAGACCCGCCTACCTCTGCCTCCCGAGTGCTGGGATTAAAGGTGCGTGCCACCAATGCCTGGCATTTTCTTTTTCTTTTTGAGGTGAGTAAAAGCTCATAATTTTATTGTCTTCATAACAAAATTGGTTTAGAACTGGATCACTTGGCCCTTTCTCTTGTTACTGCCTCCCAGTTCAAAAATGTGTGCATCTCTTACTAGCCAGCATCCTCTTAGATCAGAAGCTGGGCTCGGCACACTCCAGTCTCAGCAGGGCCTTCTTTGTAGTCTTAGCCTTTTCGCAGAGAATAGTCTGCCCACCTTAACCACTCTGTTTCCTGTCAGAAAGCAGCTTTCCCTGGGTATACAAAGAGCCCTTGCCCTTCTTGTCCTGTGTCACTTTGTGGGGTTGGTGCTTGTCATTTCTTACAGAACATCTGGCAGGTCTTAGGAACGCTCACCATGCTTGCAGGAGCAGTAATGACACAGAAAGGGATTTTTTTTTTTAAAGAGGGAAAAAAATCAAAGTGTCTGCGGAACATCTAGAAGTGGTGGTCAAGTGGAGAAGGGACAATTTAAAACAAATCATCAATCCAACTGAACAAGATGGAAAATCTTGTTCTTGGAAAGAAAGATTAAACACTCAGAAGAAACAGTTACGTTCTGAGAAAGCCATGGGCAGAGGAAAGTAAGGCGAATATGATTTTAGTAAATTATATAAAATAACATGAAGAACAGAACAATGCCTGCAAGATTCTTGACATCCAAGCTGCGGAAACCTTAGTTCGACCTCATACCACAGCAGACATGTAGCCTGATCTTGCTGCCGGTGTACAGGCTTTTAAAAGCTTGCATGTGGAAAGGGTAGAGAAATGGGGAAATATGGCACCCCTCAATCTTACTCGAAAGCCTGAACTTCTGTCAAGGGGAATCATAGAAATCCTTTCACAAGTTTTTCTCTATGGTTTCTCGTTAAAATCCTTTCTATCTTAAACTATACTTACTAATTAAGTCTACCATTAAAACCTCTAGCAGTTTTTGTACTAAAGTATCGTCTAAAGAAGAAAATTGTCTGCAGAACAGAGTCATGTTCGAAAGAACAGTATTTTATTTTGAAACAGAATCTTTGTACATAGCCTGCACTGGCCTTGATCTGTGGCCTCTCAAATGTTAGGACGACACACAAGTGTCCAGGGCCCGACTCTTACAAAATTATTTAACATAATTATTTTTCCCCATAAATTCATGAGAAAAAATAAAGTATAAAGAAATATATTTGAGGAGCTGGGAGCTAGTTCAGTTGGCACGCTTGCTCCCGAGAACCCACATTTACAAAGCGGGCGTGGTGGTGCACCTAAGATCCCAGCTGGGGAGGTGGAGGCAAGCAGATCTCTGTGGCTCACACCAGTCAACCTAAACCCACTTGGCAAGTTTCAAGTCAGTGAGACACCTTTTCTCAAAAACCAAGATGGACAGACACTGGGGAATAACATTCAAGGTTCTTCTTCATCCACCCCTATGCCTGCCTTCGGAACACATGTGCGTCCACATATACAGAAATCACAAAAACAATTCGGAATTTTCAAAACTGAAAAGCTCTGACAGCATCTCCTTTAATTTCCTGCTTCTTCTCATTGCCACGCCTGCTGACTAGTTTCCTAAATGTCCACGAACCAACAGCATCATCGAACACACAAATCAGGGGGACAAAGCAAATTCTCTCACCACTTTGAAAGCTCTTGCAGGAGCAGGTAAAGAATTGGTTTCTTCTAAATACTTATCCCAAGAAAAGTGTTTCACGTGCGAGTAGCCTAGGAAATAAAGAGAAACATGAATCCTGTGAGGGTGTCGTGAAATGAGAGTGAGAATAACAAAGTGTCTCATAAAAATCATGATCCATCAGCGCCTAGCCCAGGAAAGAATTGCTCAGGACCACAGGGAAACATACTCCTCCAGAGCTGTCGCTCACAGTGAGGAGCTCCACTCTGATCGTTTATTCTTCTACTTTTTAGATGAGATTATACAAAATATCTTTATTAAAATACTGAAACAATACATAAGATTTATGAGTGTTATTTATGAAATATTTCAGATAGCTCCTCCTTTATTAGGCTGAATAAAGAAACATGCCTATATCACAGAATATTTTTAAAAGTGTGTGTAAAAATAACCCCTCTGCCTCTCCCTGCTGCCTTTTGTTTCCTATACAGCCTCAGATCTATTAGGCAGGCAAAACAGTGGCCTATTTGGGTGAAAAATTTGCCACATGAAGGGGAATTACAAAATCTGCAAACAGATTAGTTATAATGGAAGCCAGGTTTCCACCCAACTGAGAAACAGGTATAAACATGAATAGAAGAAAACTAAAATGAAGCCAATAGTTTGAGACTTGAACGGTATCAATGAGAAGGGTTTTTAACATACATTAGTGCTGAAATAGAAAAGAACACGAAGTCTTGCACATGCTCACAGATGTCCATTTCTACAGCCACTGAGATACCCAATAGGAGCATCACCTGACCAGCAGTGGGTAAGCAGACCAAGTTTTCTATATAACACACACACACACACACACACACACACACACACGCACACACAGAAAGAATGACTGTAGGGCTGGATCAAGACGTGTGAGGGTACGATAATCCCAGCTGTTCCAAGACAGCAGTTTGCAGAAACTGAGACAAGCGTGTGAAAGGAGGTAGAAGCCAGCTGAAAGGAGCTCTTGCTGGGTACATCTTTAAAACATCCACATGAAAATCAACACTGAACTCTGGATGAAGTTAGTATTCTACAGTTCCATTAAATGAATTAACTGGAGGAATAACTGGGAAATGAAAAAGCTAATGTTTACAGAAAAACATCAATTAATTCTATACAAAAATAGATGATGGAGTCAGAAAAATTACCATTACCCATTAACATTTGTCAACTTAGAATAGTAATTAGTTTCAAATAGAAATATTAACAGATGGTAAAACTACTGAAAGAAAGATGAGATAGGCGGTAATTACAAAATCTCAAAGAACACGAGAAAAAAGTATTGGGAGAAGAGACTAGCAAATATCTCCTTGAATAATTCATGGTGAAAGATAGACTCAAATGCTGTGCCCTTGAGAGAATTACAATAAAAAACACTGATATTCGTTTAAAAAAAAAAGGAAAACTTGGAGATGAGCATAAGGGTGCTTTCCTTTAGTCACGGCACTCGAGAGGCAGAGGCAGGGGGATCTCTGTGACTTTGAGTCCAACATGGTCTACATCGTGAAATCCAGGCCAGCAAGGCTACTTGGCAAGACCATCTCAAAAACAAAACAAACAATTGTACAACTTGGATCCAGTCATAAGGAAGTGTCAATCATACTCAAACGATATCACTCTGTACAAAATGATTCGTCTGCAAGTCTCACACATACAAAGGCTGTGATTGTCAAGGAGACTCTGACTGGGGACTTGAAGAATCGGTAGCTGACTGCAGTGCATGATGGGTTTGCATAAATGGCATTGTGGGGACAGCTGTCCAGCCGGAATGAATTTCTGGCTCAAGTCAAAGTACAGATGAGTTTGAAAGTAGTCTTGAAACTTCTCCCCATTGGAGGATGTTTCAAAGTAATTAAAAAGGAAACATGCAAGTCTATATACACACACATGCATTTTACAGAATTTAATGACCTTACCTAGCACGCTTTAACCTCAATCAGAGCATTCTTTAAAATGACAGGATAAACAGAAAAAGCTAACAAACCTTTAAATTGTGAAGAGTGAAAACTATGGCTGACTCCATTTCATTTTGAACTTAAAACCAAACATGGAGTAGGATATAATTTAGAAAAATAAAAGTAGTTGTATGCAATTAACACACACATAATTATATCAAAATTACTTTTATAGCTTATCAAATTATAATTGAATAAAACGAAAAACCAACAGCAAGAGAAATCACAGAATCCATATACACTTGGAAACTGAACATATATTCTTGAATGAACAGTGTGGTTATTGAAGAAATGAGGATAGAAAATTTAAAAGTTCCTAAAATGAACATGAAGCACAGTTTACTGATGAACACAGCTAATGCAGCTCAAAGGTGGAAGTTTACAACTGTGAGAACTTACATTAAAAACAAAAAGAAAAAACCCAGAGTATTGGAGAGATGGCTCAACAATTGAGAGCACCTACTGTCCTTCCAGAGCTCTGGGTTCAATTCCCAGCAACCACACGGTGGCTCACAACTATCTGTAATGGGATCTGAGAACTCTCATATACATAACAAAACAAACAAACAAACAAATAAATATTTTTTTTTAAAAAGCAGCAGATCTCTGTGAGTTCAAGGCCAGCCTGGTCTACAAGAGCTAGTTCCAGGACAGGCTCCAAAACCAAAAAAAACAAACCAAAACAACACCAACAACAAAACGGAAACATAGAAACATTCCAAATAAATTACCCAATAGACCATAAGTTCTTAGAAAGAGAAATGCAAACCAAACCCCACTGTGGAAAATGAGAAGATATAATAAAGATCCTAACAGAAATTAATAAAATGAAAACTGAGGAACAATATATTCAGTCACTCGAGCAAAGAGTTGGTTATTTGTAAAAATAAACCTGATTGAAAAAAATTACAAATACAAATACAAAATTACAAATAAATCCTTAGAAGTATTACAAGAGAAATCTAGGGAAAAAATCCAAGATATGGACAAGTCTCCCAAAGGAAAGGAAACACCGTGAATAACCAAACAGACGCACTTCAAGCCACAGGACTGAATCAGAGACACAGCGTCTCCCAGCAAAGGGAGCCCAGACCAGACGAAGTGCTAATGTTTTCTAAATCTTTAAGGAAGAACTCAAGCACTTCTTAAACTGTTGATCAACTACCAAACTCACTCCATGAAGCCAACACACTCCGATACTCAAACCTGGTAAAGCCACACAACACAAAGAAAAATCACAAACCAGTTCTCCTGGTGAACGGAGACAAAAAAGTTCTCAAAACATAAGAGAATGAAACTAGGTTCTTGTCTTTCACTCTGCATAAAAATGAACAGCCTCAGATAAGGCCTTTAAAAACCTTAATGTCAAAATGAGCAACATCAATAAAGCAAATCAAGAGATACTGGTGTGAATGAGACGCCCTTACACATCGCTGGTGGGAACACACACTGGCACAGCCATCATGGACGTCAGCGTGGCGGTCTCTCCGCAGTGTAGGAACAGGACTACGATGAGGCGAAGTCACTCTTACTCCATGTGCAATTCTGTCCTTTTAAAACCTGTACGAAGTCCAAGTCTGGATACCACCGAGGCACAAGCATTGTATATAGAGCTAAACTACCCATATTAACCGAAATACGGAACCAGTCTAGTGGCCCATCATCGGATGCATAAAGAAATGTGGCATGGATGCACAGTGGAATTTCTGCTAAGGAGGAATAAAATTATGACAGTCTTAGGAATCTGGGTGGAAAGAGAGACCACTATGTGAGTAAAATAAGCCAGACTCAGACATGTATCACATATTTTCTTTCATATGCAGTGCCTTGATTTCAATTTATAAATGCACATTTGTGTATATATATTTAAAATTATTTTTAAAAGACAAAGATTTTAATTTCAAAAAAGGAACAATACAGACAGGCATATGGACGGAATGTGAACACAGTGTAGCCAGGAGAAGTGGTCAGGAGATGGACAGGCTTTGCATGAGGTAGCAATGGTGACAGAAAAGTTGTCCAAGGAAACTGAGTGCTTAGACACTTCTTTTCAGACAAGAGGTAAGACTGAGCCCTCACAGGTAAAGGAACCAGAGAGAGAAAGAGAAAGAGAAAGAGAAAGAGAGAGAGAGAGAGAGAGAGAGAGAGAGAGAGAGAGAGAACATCTCTGTAAAGAACCATACAACACATCCCTGGTGAACTAGGCTCACATTTGACTGAGATTCCTCACTGTTAGTCTTGCTCTTACATTTTGTAGAATTTATGTAATACTGAATGTACCATTTTCATCATCTTTGGTGTACAGTCTCCTGTGCCTTTAAAAACATACCATGATATTTGGACATCTTCACAGGCAGCTCTGAACGTTTAAAAGCTTGTCCAAGAAATTGTTATTTTCTTCCATTTCAGTACAAAAGTGTATGAAAGGTGATGGATGTCTTGGCTTGGGCCTCACAGATGAAGTTAACGCAACACCACACGCATCCCTTCCCAGGGACAGCATCAGGAACCTGTTAGCCACTGGTTCACTGTTTATTTACCGGATGCTGATGATCACAGAAATAGTGGTGTGCATGACAGAACTGATATTAAACTGGGAAATATCAGAACTCCTCACAGCAGGTTAGACGGTGGTGCTGCCAGAGAACCAACTCTGCGATCACCAGCCTAAGACAAGGCGGCACGGGTTTGAGTCATAGAACTATTAATATTCTGCTTTAACTCTATGCTACTTCTGCCTCTCTTGTCTTCACACTGGCCATGAAGATGAGTCATGTCCCCCCTTTCTTCCCTTCCACCTACAAACACCTTTGAAAGGAGAAAGGACTAGGTGTGCCGGTGAGAAGAATGGTGGATTCCCTTGTAGGAAGTAATCAGGCAGTCCGAATGTGGCCCTGGACTAAGGAACTGGGGGTGAATCTTAACACACAGAGGGCTATTTGAATGGAATGAAGCTTTATCAAGAAGCTGCAAACTGAGACTGATCTTATACGCTGCAGGCTCCATCCAGACTATCTGCCCGGAAACCCAGGTCTCATTTTCTCTCTGTGACCAAGGTGGTCTGCTTTACTCTAATATCCACTAAGCCACCAGCCCCTGAGCAGTAGGGGTTCGTGTCAGCTGATGATCCTGCCTTTTCCCACCTGTAGGGACCATGGCACTTTCAACAGGGACACATTCAAACAGTTCTTATAAGAGGATGCTGATGAATCTGTTCTTTGGCACATAAAACCACAAGGACACTATTTGTCAGCAGTTACATTGTTTCTTGTCAAAGAGAAAACCAGTAAAATAAGACTCCACAGCTATTGGCAGACAGCTGAAGCACCCTCTCCCCCCAAAGCTTCAGGGAACAGAGATACTAGCTAGCACAAGCTACAAAAACCTGTGTTGGAACCAGAAACCACAGCAACCTAAACAAAAGCAAAGGTGTACGCTCTGAACTTAGTAGAAAAGCTTAAAGTCACAGGCTCTCACTTCCACCGGACACCTGGGAGAACTGAACCCAACAATGCGGTCCATGCTCCGCCTTCAGCACCTCATCTACTTTGCTTACCTGCCCAAGTTTAGTAACTGTGCCCTAATATAAATGAGTCCAAAAAATGAATCGCAAGTTGAAAACAGAAAGACATCTTTATAAACTTTGTCAAAGAGGATGATAAGCTAAGGTTGGGATGGAAACGGTGCCACTGTTGAATACAGCTGAGGCGCTATCAGGGGTCAGCGAGTTTCCGCCTGCTGTCGGCTGCAGGACTTCGTAAAGGATAACTGCAAACATTCACATTCATGTGTGTACTTATTTCCCACAACTGCTTTTGCGCTACAACTGAGCTGAGCAATTGTGACAGGGACTCCCGGGCACCCCAAATTCAAAGTATCTATTTTCTGGCTCTTTAGAGAAAAATGTGGTCAACTCGGCAAGTACATGAAAAACATAAAGACACATTATAAATGCAAACCTGGTGGGGTAATGAGGGTTCTTCTGTGTTCTTTACACCAACCAACTGGATGGATGTGTGGGCTGGACGATTCACACCTGCAAGTTAAAAATCTGTAGTTACTAGAGAGACAGGCAAATACTGCCAGAAAATTTCAAGAGGAAAATTAATTACCAATTATGAACACATTCAAGAGTTCTATCTATTGAATAAAATAAACTTGATAAAATGCTAAAGGAACTTTCATTCTTCATATAAATACATGCATAAAATTTTCACACATATAGTGTATATTTTTGCTAGATAAATTATCATACGGAATTGACACCACAGGTTTATTTTCCCATGGAAACGCTAAAGTCTGAAACCTCAAATGCAAAAGAAGTACAAAAGAAGAGCACTATTCGAAAGCATCATGGGAGGAAACAAACTATGTAAAAGCAAAGCTAAAAGTAATTTAGCATCTCTAAAACTCAAGGGCAAGATCACTATCAAAACCAGCAGGCTAGAGTACCCACAAAAATCAGGGGCTCTGGGTAGGGAAGTGTTCAAGGAGGATAGAACCCAGGTGGTGTGCAGGGAAAGGGGTAAAGGAGCAAGGAGGATTAAATGGGGGTGAGGGTGGGGGCAATGGAACCGGGAAGGTTAACTAGCACTAAAAATTTTAGAACACCATGTGGGAACCTACTGCTGCGAAGGTTTTTGAAAAATTAAAATAAATATAATAAATGATAATGGGAGTGTGGGGTGCTTCTTCTAGATCCCATAGACTAGCAAAAGGCCCAGTGCAAATAAGCAAATACATAAATAGTAACAGCATGCCATTTCTGCTACCCTTTAAATTGCAGACACCAGAGACTAAAATGAGGCGCTTCTTCCTTTTTCTGCTTTCTCCTGCCCATCATCTTCGCTATAACTAAGTGTGTATTCCCCAGAGCTCACGACATTGGTGTTTTTGAGACCTTGCTCCTCACCACACTTGTTCTGTAAGTTATTACCTCTCCATGCAATGTACTTCACCCATGTATCTGCTCACTCATTCTTTTAAATATCAAGTGAAGACAGTATGTCAAAAACTGATATGCCAGGCACTGGGCAGATCCTGAGGAAATGACCTTATAGACAGGAACTTTAGAAATAAAAGTTCCTCGGTCCCTGCAAGGGGATTCGAGCCCAGGACCCCTGAAGATAACAACTGAGGTGCTCAAGAACCTTCTATAAAATGGTGTGACATTTGTATTCACTGTATGTGTATCCTCCTGTGTCCTTGAAACCACCTCAGGGTTACTTAAAATAGCTTGTATGGTGTAAATATTACAGAATTGTTATGGGAGAATAAATTACTTTAGGCTTGTACATGTTCAGTACTATTGCGACCATCACAGGCCTAATTAAATTCATGAGCTACGGTTGGCACAAAGGGAAGCAGATACATGAAGTAAGGAATAGGTTAAGAGCGCAAAGGCGCTCCCATTTCTAGCCTAGTCTCTTGTGAGGCGATACCTGAGCCAACACTTGAAAGATGTGATGAAAGAAAGAAGTGAGCCACTCGAACATAGAAAAAAAATACTATTCTGGGTAGAGATAAGTTCAAAGGTTCTGAAAAGGGGATCCTAGGAAGTGCTGTATCATGGAGAGAAAAAAAAACGGATGAAAGGAAACAGATAAATACAAAATGTCAGAACGGAAGCCCATTTAGCATGCAACAAAGTGAAGGCTTGTAATCAAGAGTGAAGTAGAACATTGTGGCGGGTGTTAAATAGCTTAGTCTGATTTATGTCTTAAAGTGATTATTTTAACTACTAGGCAAACAGTAATCCACACTGGAAGCAAGAGTCAGTTAGAAGGTGATCCAAATTGATCACAGGGGCCTGGACCACAGTGGAGGTAGTAAAACCAGTGAGGTTTAGATAAACAATCTAAGTATAGAACTAAGAGCGTTTGTTGGTACATTTAATATAGGAGGTGAGCGAAATGAAGAAGTCAGGACACTCCAAGGTCCTGGGCATAGGCAACAAGAACGCAGCTACCATTTCCTGGGCAGGAAAATACTGCTAGCGATGGTTCTGACATTTCAAGTGGAGGATAAAAGCTCCTGCTATCGGCGTGCTTAGCAAATACCCATTAGACAAACGAAAAAGAATGTCAAATAAACCATGTCTAGAGTTCACACACAAAGAAGATCAGGGCCAAAGTATCCATTTCGGAGTTATCAGCATTTGGGATGATATTTAATCCACAAGCAGACTTGAGACAATCCAGAGAGAGAAGGGAATGAAGTCCATGTCAGAGGACTAGCAAGTGAAGTAGCAGAAGAAGTCGGCTGGGTGCGATGGTGTTACAGATCAAAGGAGAAGCAAGGGCTTGTCGTGGGACCTGTCAACAATGTAGCACCCAGCCCTGACAAGCTCACTTGAGGCCTGAGCCTCAGTAGTTTACCCTAAGGCAATAACTGGTTCCAAGAAAGACCGCAAACTGAGACCACCCAGGCCCCTCCCAGGTACAGATCATCCAAAGAAAATTCCTAAAGTTCCAACCATTGTAGATAGGATCACCTGCCAGCACACACCCATTGCTTTTCACCAGGGCACCCCTAGACAAATGTCAGCCAATCAGAAGTCCTGAACCTTAGAAACTTCTCACCCCCCACCTTAACTACTGTGAAAACCCAACCCCAGCGGAGTTCTGGGCTCTCCCGTCACTCCAATACATTGGACTCACAGAGAGTTCAAGTTCGCAAACTTGTATAAGAATGAAAAGCTCTTTGCTTTTACACACAGGACCCAGTCTCCTAATTGGTTTGGGGAGGGAACTACATCAGTGACAAGAGTATAATACAACGCGGGAACAAAATGGCGTTCGGAGAGAACGGACAGAGAGACGATGAAGACGGTGACACAGAAAGCATATTTAAGAACTTCGGTTATAAATGGGGGCAGTGAGCCGGGTGGCGGTGGCGCACGCCTTTAATCCCAGCACTCGGGAGGCAGAGGCAGGCAGATCTCCATGAGTTCGAGGCCAGCCTGGTCTACAAGAACTAGTTCCAGGACAGGCTCCAAAGCTACAGAGAAATCCTGTCTTGAAAAACCAAAATAAATAATAAATAAGTGGAGGCAGTGAAAGAGCAAAAGTGAAGATCTGTTTTATTGCTTAAGCTGGAAAATTGAAAGACATGAGATGGATACGAGTGGGGGGGGGGGGAAGAGAGAAATAGGAAAGGAAAGGACATGATTGGTCCTGGGTTTCAGGACCAGATGAATGAAAAAAAGAAATTAAAAAGGAAGAGAACATAACTGCCCCTAGATATGGCGGAGAAGAAAGTTTATTACAGGTATGTGGGAGAGCATAGCCAGAGGCAGGGACGTCTGGGAGTCTAAAGTGCACACGACTCTGAGCCCTGTGAGGAGAGCCGGAAAGGAAGGGAGGGAAAAAGAGGGGAACCAGGTACAGCAGCCAATAGGCCCAAACGATGAGGGGTAACCAAAATGGCTGGACTATATAGGGGAGAGCAGCTGCAGGAAGGGCAGTCGAGCCCCTGGACTAGAGACATGTAGGATAGGAGGTGGAGTATGACAGCCATGAGTGTCCTGTAAGGGACTGAGGAGGGCAAGGAGAACCTGCAGGCCAGTGTTTGCTTTGATATGCTAAATAGGCACCTGGACCACTGGTAGGGTTTGAAACCTGACAGGGTACATATGGGAATTTTCTATTTTCTAGTATAAAATTATCGGAAAATAAAAGTTGGATTTTTTTTTTTAAAGCAAGGCAAGAAGTATACATTAGTTAAAAAAGAAATAGCTGCTGAACAAAGCCCGCGATGGGGGTGGGGGCCCGCGGGGCATTCCATATGCTAAGGATACATCAGGTTTCAAACATATTTCTCTTCCTGTACGTGTGCACTGGCAAGGATTCATCAGAGAGGGTGAGATGGTGCCCAGAAGAGGAGGAGTCAGAGGGTGGAGCCCCAAGGGAGCCTCTGAGTTAGTCACCCACCTGGAGATCAGGAAGGGGAGCCAAGTGAGGTACAGGAAGAGGGAGTCCATTCTCACTGCTTTCTCTCAGTTAAATAAAAAACCAAAACCTCTGTTTGGAGAGGGGACAGAGTTAGAGTGTAAGAGTCTGAGAGAGGAGAAAACCGGAAGGAAATATGGTCTGGAAGACTAGACAAGGAGAGAGGTTGGAATTGAGGGTCCAGCTGACTTTAACAGCCACAAATGGAAGGTCACACCAGCCAGCATGTGGTGTTCCTATCTCTAGCTATACTCAATGGTCAGGCACAGACACAGTAGGCAGAAAGTAGATTCAACCTGCACTGTGATGCCAGGCAAGTAGACAGTAAGAAGATAAAGACTGTTCTACAAGGGAGAACTTCACAGTAAATATTACAGAATACCAGGAGTCCTACTGGCATACCACAGCATCGTTCTTAAAAAACTGGTTGGGACTTTGCCCCATCTGTGCTCTCAAAGATAACAAGTTTTCTGAAACACACACACAGACACACACAGACACAGACACACGAGAGAGAGAGAGAGAGAGAGAGAGAGAGAGAGAGAGAGAGAGAGATGAGAGACGACAGACTGACACCAGACCAGACCTGGCAAGAGTCGAAATACACATAACATGTCAAGATATTTCAAAACAGCACGATATACTCCATTTCCAAGAATTTCAGTACACAGTATATCAAAACACTATAAAGTTATACTATAAAAAAAGCCAGTTTAGAATTCTCTAAAGCAGCATTTCCGGGAGGCAGTTAGTTATGAGATACTATTTTATCCAGCAAACCTTTAACATCACATGGAACATGACTGTTCTGCAAAACTCAGCTTGGGAAATAGTGGGCTAAAGGTCATAGGGGCCAGAGTCCAGTCTCACTTTATACAATTCCTTATGATGTACTGTTACAATTATACTAATAGGGCTATTTGGATACCCTCAGCTTTTCTGAATCATCTTGGTTATGGATTTTTACTGGTGGTGTAGTACCTTTAAGAAAGTATTTCTACTTCAGCAGCTTGTATGCTGAAATACAAGCATACTATGGGGTAGTATATAATATTTCAACACATGAAATAACTATTCTATTTTTCTT